AAAGTTCTTTTACCAATTCATGCTTCCCTCGGTGTGGCTGGGGTAACAAATGCCCCCTTGCTGGCCTCCTCAGCACCCCATTCGTGCAGCAGGGGCTGTTGACAAGAGGCTGAGCTCTTTATCCCAGGCTGTCTACACGATCTTGGAGTCTGCAGCTGGAATGATCCCCCAGGGGATTTTAAGAGTAGCAAGACCGAGATGGAACCATCCACTACCCATTTAGGTGTATTCCCGGGCAGGAGGGGGAGCTGGAGGGTGTTGTGACCCTGTCTGGGCAAATTACCAGAGTGTGTGGTGACAGGAGAGGGTGAAAGGTTGGTAGAGGAGCAGTGGGAGGTACCTTCCTGTACTAGGATGTACCGCTGAGAGGCCCAGAAGAAGCAGTCCGCTCTGGGAGGTACAACCGGGAGTGAGGGAGGCTTGTGTTCCCAAACCAACCATTGTGTGCATGGTGCGGGGAGCTCACCACCATGCAAGGACCTCCACCTCCCCTGAGGTCACCATCATCCCACTTTTTTTTTTTTAAGATTTTATTTTTTGACACACAGACGACGAGAGTGGGAGAGGGAGAAGCAGGCTTCCCACTGAGCTAAGGGAGCCCGATGCGGGGCTTGATCCCAGGACCCTGGGATCATGACCTGAGCCGAAGGCAGACGCTTAACAGCTGAGCCACCCAGGCGCCCCTCCATCATCCCACTTCTGACCCCACCCCGTCAGCTCTACAGATTCTCATCAAATGGGGACCAGGGAAGATGGCAATGGAGCTCGTGGATGGTTCCCTGATAGGTGAGCAGGGCAGAGATGAAGGACACCACTGGATCTGACTGGTCTAGATGGGATTGCCTACCAGATTCTTCCAGGGGAGAGAGCTCCCGTTGGCTGGAGGTGGGGGTATCCTCAGAGAGATTGTGGGTGCAGAGGTGGGGCTTGGAAGAGTGGAGGTGGAAGTGGGGTGGGGGTTGCAGTCCTTCTCCGGAACCTCAGGCTGCTGATCTGCAAAAGAGGCTGAAGATACTAGCCAGCTCAGTGGGATCACTGGCTTTTATTCTGTCCTCTAGTCTATTTTCCTGTTAGGTTTTTTAACAGTGGGTACTGGATCCCACGATATGGATATCAGGGCCCAATAACCAATCACTAAATCTTACTCCAGTGTCCCGTTATGTGCCCACGAGACTACATGGAGGTCTTGGATGGGCAGAGAGCTTCTAGAGAGCTCATGACCTACTCCAGGCCAGGTTTCTCCAGGGAACCCGATGGTGACCTACTCAACCCAAAGAGGTGAATGCTTAAATGATGGGATTTTAAGCATTAGACGGGGGAGGTGTTTGGCTGAGGGTAGGTGAGTAAGTCATCGGTGGGTTCTCAAGTCAGTGAACTTCTCCCCAGTCAGGCATTAAGCCCTGACTGTATTCACACCTGAGTCTGAAAGGCTGCAGATGCAACACTGGGTTCCTGGGTTCCTGGGTTCCTGGGTTCCTGGGTTCCTGGGTTTGTGAAAATCCACCATGGCCTCGGAGGTGGGCCAGTGTGTGTGTCCCCTGAGGAGGACAAGGTGCACCAATTGGGCCCACATCAGCCTCTGTCCCCAAATTCCACACCTTACAGTAGATACTGCCCGTGAGCAAATAGCCCTGCTCTGGTGTTGGCCTCATGTGCGAGAAGAGAGGGGGGAAATGCGCGTGCCTCCCTGTTTGCACAAAGCCCGGCAGGAACTGGAGACCCTCATGCCACCTTTCCTTTAAAGCAGAATTAGGCATTGAGAGGAGGGGACAGGTTTCCTCTTTGGGGAGAGGATAAGGTGGAGCGGTGGGTGGAACAGGGGTGCGCCTCGGTGGTCAGGCACGTGGTCTGTGGCATATCTACCTGGCAGGGCAATGCAAACCCCTTCCCCATCTCCTTCCCCCGCTCGTGTTCACGGGCTTGCAAAGGATCTGCTGGCTGAAGGTGTCCTTCTGGTTCCGGGCTCAGATGGACCCTGGGAAAACCAGGTGGCTGCAATGCCTCCGAGGTTTAGGAGCTGAGAAGGCTGAAGGAAGCGCTGTGTTCAGTGTGAATGGGATGTGGGCCAGGCCTTCCACAAGGCTCGGGGTGGGGGTGGGGGTGGGGGTGGGGGCTGCTGGATCCACCCTGAGCAGCATGGGACTGTGCTGCTCCACCTTCCACAGCTTCCACTCCTCAGCAGGAGGGCTCTGGGGCCTTAAGGACAGTGTGAGTCTCCTGAGGATGGTATGAACACTTCCAACCTAGAAGATAGCCCCATTTTGACGGGTGGAGGGCTCTACTGTGTGTCAAGCCTGGAGGGAGGGCCAGCTGCCCTCCTGGGTGTGGCCTGGGCCTAGTGCAGCTGTGTCTTCGTCCAGAAAACAGCCAATGATGGCAACACCAGGGGGTCATCCTTCGCCTGGAAAAGGACGTTCCTCAGGTGCCTGGACGGGCACGCTGGGATAGGGGCTAATGCCCTGGAGACAGCTGTGTTCCAGAAAGGCTCTCTGTAATTCTGTCTTTCAGTCTCTGTGTCTCACTCATGGGGCTGGGTGAGACCTCACTGTGGCTCTCATTGGCATGTGTCCTGTGTGGGGTGACTTTTTGTGGTCAGAAGCAAGATGTCATTTCTCTGAGCTGGTTTGGGGTCTGTCCAGGCTTTGAGGTGTCTGAGCTGTGTGAGGGTGTGTCCGGCGTGTGAGATCAGTGAGCTGTGGAGTGTTGTGTGTCCCAAGTGAGAGTTCTCTGGTCTATTTAGGGCTCTCTCCCAGTGTGTGCGGTATCTGGCCTGTTTTGGGTGCAGTGTGCAGAATGTAAGGTGACTGGGGCTGTTGCCATGATGTATTTCGGGAATTAGGGTTTGAGCTCTCCTGAGCGTCTCTGTCGAGGTTGACATAGTTGAGCTCCTGGGGGCCCATACTGTAGGTTGTGAGATCACAAAGGTTATTGGTCACAGGACAGGAGGTGTCCGAGCAAGCTCTGTGTTCACAGTACAGGTGCTCTGTGCTGTTTGTGTGTCTGCATGCAGGGTTGTGAGCTCTGTGATTGTGTGGCATCTACGTGCAGGGTGTGAGGTCTGTGAGCTGTTAAGTTTCTGTGTTGCAGGTTGCCAGGTTCCTAAAACGCATGTGGGTCTCTATTTTAGAATTTATTGTCTCTGAGCTGTTTCGTGTCTCTCTCCTCATTTCTTGAGATCCCAGGAGTTTGAGTTCTGTGCGTTGTTTAATCTTGTATGTCCAGTGCGTTGAGGTCTCCTAGCTCCCCTTTCCTGGGTCTGGAGCTCATCCACTCCAGCTCCCAGCACCCGGGCTTCCTTGTCTAGGCCAGTGAGTCTATGTGGTTGGCTTCCCTTGGTGTGTTACTGGGATACGAGTCTGTGTCCAGGGTGTGATGCTTCTGAGCTGGGGGCGATCCGGGTCCCAGGGTGAGGCCTCCTCTGTTTGTGGTGCTGTGTTGCAGGCATTGAAACTTCTGAGCCACGTGGCTGTTCATATCCCCATTGAGAGACTTTGTCACATACCGAGTTCAGACATGAGGTGTTTGTGACCTCTACCCAATGTTTCAGTCTGACAACTGTCCAGAAAGACAGAGCTTGATCTGAGTTGCCCGCCGGGAGTCATGCATTCCAGCTCCCAATAACCTGGCTTCTCGACCACTGACTCTGTGGTGTGCTTCCCTCAGACCCTTCCCTAGGGTTGGGTTCTCCCAATCCAGAGCTGTAACTTACCTATTTCACGCAGATCTCAAGTACAGTTTGAAATGTCGTCAATATCCAACTAAAACACCAGAACCAGTGCTTCCCTAAAAAAACTATTCACAAAACATTTTACGGAATCCCAAGAGGTTCCATCCAGCTAAGAGCCCCTGCCCTTTTGATAGGGAGTTGTTGCAAATCTCCTTAAAATATGGAATCTTTTTTTAAAAATCCTTTCTCTCTCTCTTGCTGGTACCTTGAGAGGCGCAGACAGGAAAGGCCATTCAATTTTACGTTTTTGACAAAACAAGCAAAGCAACCCTCCACACACACCCCCCCCCACCCAGTACACCCAGTAGTAGTCAACATAAGGAAATTGTATTGGAAATGTAAATGGCATCCTGTGATTAATTATAAAACCAAATTTCTGATCACACCAGCCCTATGTCTACCTACTGTCAGGATCGGCTGTATTCCAGCAGACTGGATAACCAAAGATGCCTTCTTTCTCCAGATCTCATACACTGCGGCTTGTAATGTGATTACAACGGTCTAAATAATTGTAACCATTGTAGGAATCACAGCCTGTTAAAAGCATATCTTTTCCTATGTCACATTATGATCTCTCTCTCTCTCTCTCTCTCTCTCCCTCTCTCTCCCTCTCCCTCTCTCTCCCTCCCTCTCTCTCCCTCTCTCTCCCTCTCTCTCCCTCTCCCTCTCTCCCTCCCTCCCTCCCTTCCTCCCTCCCTCCCTCCCTCACCTCCTAGACAGAATTCTCAGGAGATACAGGAGGCACTGCCTAGGAAACGGACTCTTTCTGACCCCGTGGACCACTGACTGGAGCCCAGTGATGCCCCGGGGTCTAGCAATGCCCACTAGAAGTCTCAATCTTGTGTCCGCCAAAAATGGCAACCCTTTTAGAGAAAGAGAAATACGCCATACGCAGGTTTTCAAAATCGCAGTCCTGATACTGCTGAGATAGGGCTTGTGAGAGAAAGAGCTATTCTTTCAGACAGCACCGGTCGCGCGTGGCCCAGGGAGAATGCTGGTCCTGCGACACTAATGAGCACACGGCCTGTTTAGGGAGATTCTCCTCCTCTCACTCTCAGACCCTCGCTTTCGCTCGTTCTTTCCCGGGATCAGGTTCCCGTCATCCCGCCGCCAGCGCACCCCCTCGGTTCCTCAGCGCAGCGTGGTGAAGCGCGCCTCCAAAAATAGAAGGGTTAAGACCACCGAGAGGAGACCTCCCGGCTTCCTAGAGAGACGCGCCACGCGCGCGCATACAGGAGGCGGGGCTCCGCGACAGCCGTGACGTCATAGGGGTGGGACCCTGTGCCCAAGCCGGGTGCTTTTTAGCCTTCCTCGGGCTGTACGGGGCCGGCAGGGAGACGGGAACGTCCCGGGGCACAGTGGGCTCCTCTCCGTGGGCTTCGGCGTGGGTGCATGGAACCCGCGACGTAGGCACCCGGCGGGTTGGGAAGGTTGAGCCCGCTCCCACGGCGGCGCACCAGGTGACTGCACGGGATGAATGCTTCCTGAGGCCGCAGTGAGAGTTTCCGGGCGCTGCGGGTGACGTCACAGACGATGCACCTGGTGCTGAGCCGGGTAGGGTGGGAAGGGAGGGGCTTCTCCGTGACAGCCTGGTTACGTCCCTCGTAGAGCGCACGCGAGAGAAGTACCTGTTACTAATTTTTGTTTTCTTACTAGGAGTTTTTGCATAGGCTGTACATACACGCTAGGAAGGGCAAAAGCAAAACTAGTAGAGAGCTTGTCTATTCAAACTCTTGCAATCCGGAGAGCACCGGGATCTGAGCATCAGAGTGTCTCGACGGGGTGGTTTTGCCTTTTCTTCGTAGGAACGCGTAGACCCGTTATAGTGGGGAGATTTAGGGTAGAGGTGTTTCTGCATTCAGGATTAGTCTCAGTCAGCCGGACAGGAAATGTCTCTCTCTGTGTCTAGCCAGTTTCAGGAGGACTGACTTTTAACCTCAGTCTACTTTTCCTGAGACAGCAGGGAGCTGGAGGGACTGTGTCTGGCCCTTCAGCCAAAGGAAGAAGGTCTGTGTTTGGCCTTGTCACGAGTAAACCCAAGAGTCCCCCGAGAGGCTGATGGCAGGTATGACAAAGAGTGAACAGCAGGCCTTCTCAAAGTTATAAGGGGATGAGTGGTCCTTTGGGGTAAGCCATTTCTGGAACGGGAAAGCCTGTGGAGACTGCTTTCCTGTGGCTTTTTTCAGGGCTCAGGTGAAGTTCAACGTTGTCTACAGGGTAAAAATGTGCTTGGCCTCTTCTGAGCCTGTCCAAGCGGATATCCAGACAAGCAGAGATTCTCTTTTTAGCCGTGGAAGTAATTGATACTTGAAGAGCACTTTATGGTTTTTAAAAGGTACTATTTTCCTGATCTAAATGAAGGAAGCAGAAATGAGTCATTATCCCAGAATAAGGTCATCGTCCTCATCTTACAAGCAGGGAAACTGACCACAGAGAGGTGAAGTCACCCGCCCAAAGGCACACAAGGAATAAGTGGTGGAGCCCTGATTTCAAATCGTGGTATGGATGGCTTCATCACCTGTTGGCTGTGCAGGAACACAGTGGTGGTTTCCAGATCCACACATCTGGCTCTATCCTCCCCGAAGCTACACACCTCCTGAGACAACTGACAGGCCCACAGACACATTGCACTCAACGAGTGCTAGCCACTCTGTGAGACGCGGGAGATGACTTTCCAGGGAAGAGAAGTGTTGGAGAGAGTAGGTCCCAAAGGCTCACCACCATCCCCGAGGGATGAGGGAGTGAGACTACAGGAGGAAGACTGGAACACACAAGGCAGTGCCTGAAGCGGGGCTGTGTCGCTGAGAGACAGGCTGATGGGCTGACCTATGGCACTCATGTGTTAAACACATTGCTTTGAATTAATATTTTTTCTCTTGGCACTGCCAATGTGTGCTGCATGTTGAAAACACACAAGGCAGTTAAGTAAAACCGACCAATATGTGGATAAGTAGAGAGACTCCCATTTTACCCAGGGAGTGCCTGTCAAACGGCACTGTGCTGTGCAAAGGGAGAGCGTTATCCTAGACTAAATGAAACAGAAATTAGGTATTTTTCCTAATTTTTAGTATCCTTCATTCCAGGTGAGGCATCTCAGGCACAGAGAGGCTGGGTCAGCTCCCTCGAGTCACTGAGGTACTAGGTGGTTGAGTGCCACAGGCAGAGAATACACGGCACGTCCAAAACTGACCATGCCCACCCCCACTCCCCATACATCTGCATCTGCTCCGGTGTTGCCTAACTCAGTGAAAAGCAACTTTCTACCCAGCTGCTTAGGCCAGCGATCCTTCAAGCCATCCTTCCTTGGGCTCCTGGGTGGCTCAGTCAGTTAAGTGCTGCCGTTGGCTCAGGTCGTGATCCCAGGGTCCTGGGATGGAGTCCCGCATTGGGCTTTCTGCTCAGCGGGGAGTCGGCTTCTCCCTCTACCCTTCCCTCTGCTCCTGATCTCACACTCTCTCTCTCTCTCTCTCTCTCTCTCTCTCTCTCAAATAAATAAATAAAATCTTTTAAAAAAAGAAGCCATCCTTCCTTGCTGCCTCGCTCACCACCCCCTCAATCACCAAGGCCGGCCAATCCAACCTCCTCCGTCCTTCTAAATAAGCTCTTGACACGTCTTCCATCACTAGGGTTCGTTCCCTAGGCCAGATGACCGTCGTCTCTGCTTGATAATCACCACCAATCTTGACCCTTGGCCACGAATGTTTTCATCCCACTGCCTGAGGGGCTGTTCTTAAATCCTGACCTGGTCTTGTCTACCCTGCTCAAAATTCAGCAGGGGCTCTCTGCTGTCCTTAAGATAACGTCCAGCCTCTTGGACTAGGCACAGCAGGCCTTGCCTACCCTCAACTGCTTCATCTTCCGCACACCGCCTCCTGCCCCACCCCACGCCATATTCCAACCCCTTCCACCTCTTTCTGTTCCAGTAGATGGCCAGTGGACCCAGACACACTCTCTTCTCCCTGCCTCTCATTTCCCCGGCCCCACGCATTGCCATCCCCTGTAGATCGAGGATTCGCTTCATTTGCCTGATTTCCTACCTATGTTCAGCTGTCAGGTTCAGTAGAGAGCAGTTTCCATTTATCCGGAGCAGTACCTGGGTGAAAAGGCACTGTTCACCGAACTTTGTACTGAAAAGAAGTGATGGAGATTTCATTATAAATTCCGCCAAATGGACAGATGTTTTACTCTGGTTCACAGGGAGCTAATTGGAAATGCAATCTGACCGCAGAGCTTTTCTGGAAAAGGCTTCCTTGCTTAGAATAGGATTACACTCGGCAAAGATCTCACCTCATTTTACATGGAGCCTCGGATCCATTTGAACTCGGGGTTTGGAATGTGGCACAAATTTTCCTAATGTGAAGGGATCCTACCTTCCACTGAGGAGGGATAAGCAGAAACATGGAAAGAATATGTTACTTTATGGCACCTGTGACTCAGGAAATTAAGCAGGCCTTCAGCCACCCTCCCCCCCCTTGGGCTTTGTTTTGAAGAGCTCACTTTTCACCGTAAGTTGCAGTCTGAGTTTTCTGTTAGGACAAGAAAAAGTATACTAACTGGTGTTCCCTTTACAAGGGGTTTGACTGATTCGTCCCTGTGGCCCTCGAGGTGGCAAGGATCAGCTGCCTGCTCTTATGGGAACCCTCCAAGGGAATCTGACAGTGCCTCCGTATGACTCCCTAGGGGCCCCCACCAGGTGCCAGCAAGCCCTGGAGGAAACTGTGTCGGTTCCTCCAGCATCCAGTGGAGAGTGTGAACCCACTGCTGATTCTCCCTGCCATAGAGTAGACTCAACCGTGGGGATTACCCTCATTCACTGCAACCCCTCTAGGAGCAGCACACCTCGGTATGAAACAAAGTGTGTGCCTTGGACAAGGGAAAAGATGGAACCACCAGTCCAACCACCACCGCCCCAACCCCAACCTTGGCCACAGGGTGGGACTAGACTCCCAGGGGCCTGGCATACCTCGCTCCGTTGCTGACGTGTCCCTAACACAGGGCACAGTGTGATTGCCTTTTCCTGCAGCCTAGCTCTTGAGGAGCTAAAGTGTGCGTGGTACATACGGTTTGATTACCCAGAGGCTCAGGTGAGTCTCAAAGCCCAACGTCTGTAGACAGGGAAGCAGACTGAAAGGGGTTGTTAGGTGGCTGACGCAGGAGAGGGTGGATCTGGGAATCCCGCCTCCGTTTTGCCCGACTCCAAAGCCGGTCTTCGCGCTCACAATGACACACCTGGATTGTGTTTCAGTTGCTGAAATGCAGATGCCGTTCGACGATTGCGTGGTCATCATGGTCCCAACTCCTCGTCCACCTTGAAACGCAGGTACCCTGCAGGGTAAAGCAACCCCAAAAGGTTCTAAGACCCTGCATCTGCCCTCTGAGGAGCAGCCCCGAAGCAACAGCCCCGGAGTCCCTTGGCGTGGAAGGCTTGCCTCAGAGCCAACCGCCAAGCAGGACTTCAGCTTCCAGGGTGCCCCTGTCGAGAGGTCCTTTGCCATATTACAGAGACTTTTGCAATCCACCCCACCCCCCAAACTAGGTCTGCGCCAGGCTCACTCTATTCACCAGCGATTATGAATCGCGAGGCAAGCAGAGGCCGACCAAGTGCTTTTAGTGGCTGCGTCACAGCCGTGGGGCTGGCCAAACGGCAGTGGTGCTTGGAGCTCGGTAGACCAAGGACGGAACTCTGGCTCTCCCTGTGGGGATCTCTCGGTTCCTCAGCTCGCAGGTCTGTAAAATGTGGGTGATCGAGAGTGCCTACCTCATCATGCTCCCCACCCCGAGAAGTGCGTCCTCACCAAACACACGCACACACACGGACACTTAGGTAGGGGTAAGATGCCCTCCTCTGTGTTCCTAAGGTCCCGTGACTTAAATTCCGCCATCACTCTTCTCACGGGACATGTGGTGGTCATCTGCTGGCTGACTGCAGCCTAAATCATCCCTGCGTCCCCAGACTGTGTCCAGGAAACTGACGCATGGTATTCAGGTGGTGCTGAGGACGTGTTTCTTCAATGACGGAAGGACCCTGACCCAAGGTGTCGTTATGACTTCATCATAAAGGGTAGCTAGTGTACCAGCTGTTTCTGGATTACAAGTGGAGGAAACAGGACATCTCTGTGCTCAAGATTCTCTTTGGGAGGAGGAGGAAGCTTGCATCTTTTGTACCATCTCTGATTGCAGATACTTAAAAAAAAAAAAAAACGAGGCTATAAAGATATTTTAATTGTGTGGGACATTCTGTCGCCCCATCAGCCGCAGTTCTGGTCTCGCAGTGGAACTTGGATCGAGATCTTGGGAGCACCAGTCAGCTCAGAGAACGTTTTCCAAGCACCAAGTGGCCGGTGCACATAGCAGGTGCCCACAGTGATCTGTCCAGCAGGTGGACTGTTGCGTGAATTCGGGCTGCTAACTAAGGGTGTGATGCTATGGCTAGAGCACAAATGCCCTTTGGGACGGGGAC